CAGAGATGCAGGGATGGTTCAATATATGCAAGTCAATAAACGTCATTAATCGTATAAATGGACAAAAACCACATTGTCATCTCAACAGATGCAGAAAAGACTTTTGACAAAATTCAGCATGTATTTATGTTCAATGTCCTACTAAAGGAGCACTAATTGGAAAAGAAGAGGTCAAACTATCACTTTTTGCAGATGATATGATACTATACCTAAGAGATCCCAAAAGTTCCCCCAGAAAACTCCTAGAACTGAACAACACTTTCAGTATAGCAGCAGATTATAAAATCAATCTACAAAAAATAGTAGCCTTTCTATATACCAATAACAAGGAATTGGAGAAAGAATACAGGGAAACTCTCCCATTCACAATAGCTGGGAAAAAAATATCTTGGATGATATGATACTATACCTAAGAGATCCCAAAAGTTCCCCCAGAAAACTCCTAGAACTGAACAACACTTTCAGTATAGCAGCAGATTATAAAATCAATCTACAAAAAATAGTAGCCTTTCTATATACCAATAACAAGGAATTGGAGAAAGAATACAGGGAAACTCTCCCATTCACAATAGCTGGGAAAAAAATATCTTGGAATAAATCTTATCAAAGACACCAAAAATCTTTACAGTGAAAATTTTAAATCATTAAAGAGATTGAGGAAGACTCCAGGAGATGGAAGGGCCTCCCATGCTCATGGATTGGAAGAATTCATATTCTAAAAATGACCATCCTACAAAAAGCAATAGATAGATTCAATGCAATCCCAATCAAAATCCCCATGACATACTTCACAGAATTAGAAAACACCATTCTTAAATTCATATGGAAGCACAAAAGACCCCAGATAGCCAAAGCAACCCTGAGCACAAAGAGCAACACTGGGGCAATTACTATACCAGATCTCAAAGTATACTACAGAGCTATAGTCTTAAAAACAGCATGGTAGTGGTACAAAAACAGACACAAAGGTCAACAGAACATCATCGAAGATCCAAACCCTAGTACACACAATTTCACCCACCTGGTATTTGACAAAGGTGCCAAGAACACACAATGGAGGAAAAACAGCATCTTCAACAAATGATGCTGGCAAAACTGGATCTCCAATGAAACTAGATCCTTATCTTTCACCTTGCACAAGAGTCAGCTCCAAATGGATCAAAGACCTCAATGTAAAACTGGAAGCCCTGAAACTATTAGAAGAAAATATTGGCAGTAACTTACAAGATATAGGTGTGGGAAAGGATTTTCTAGGGACAGAAGTTGCTCAGGAATTAAGGTCAGCAAATCAAAAGTGGGACCTCATTAAACTAAAAAGCTTCTGTACAGCAAAAGAAAGAGTCAAAAAAAGTGAACAGAAAACCCACAGAATGGGAAAAAATCTTCACCATTTGACAGGGTTATAAATTCCAGAAAAATAAAGAACTCAAAAAACAGAGACTCGAGAGAAAATATATGATCCAATTAAAAGATGGGCTAAAGATCTAAGCAGAGAGTTCTCAAAGAAATAAAGACGGCTAAGAAACATCTTTAAAAGTGTTCAACATCGTTAGTAATTAGGGAAATGCAGCTTAAAACCACCTTAAGGTTTCACCTTACCACAGTCAGACTGGCCAAGATCAAGAGAACAAATGATACCAAATGATGGTGAGGATGTGGAGAAAGGGGAACACTCATTCATTGCTGGTGGGATTGCAAATTCGTGTAACCCCTATGGAAAACAGTGTGGAGAACATATAAAAAACTAAAAATGAACCTACCATATGACCTGGTTATACCATTCCTTGGCATATACCCAAAGAACTCATCCTATTGCAGAGACACTTGTACAACCATGTTTGTTGCTGCTCTTTTCACAATAGCTAAGAGATGGAAGCAACCTAAGTGCCCCTCAACTGACAAGTGGTTAATGATTCCCTATTGGCAATTTGGGTAACCTCTTCAGAGGATGGAGTAATAAGAATAGGAGGTAGGAATTGGCTAGGCAGTTAGGGTAAACGGACCCCAAAGAAAAGTAGCCAGTTTCTTGGCTAAAACTCACAATGTCCTTGGGCCTCTTAGCAACCTACTCCATTCCAAAGGCCAAAAATGTCAAAAAAAATTTGGGAGCTTTTATCTAACTCTTAAAAGATTTTAAGGATACCTCTTCAGAGGGGCGAATGTTAAGAGTAGCCAAAAGCCCCATAAAAAAAATAAATTAAATAAGCAGAAAGAGTACGTGAAGTTATCAGAAAAAAATTGATGGGGAGATATGGGAGGAGTTGGAGGGGAGGGAGTGGGCATGGATTTGATCAAAACACCTTATAAGCTTGTATGAAATTCTCAATAAATTATTTTTTTAAAAAAAGAAGAGGGGCTGGAGATATGGCTCAGTGGTTAAGAGCACTAACTGCTCTTGCAGAGGACCCGGGTTCAATTCCCAGCACCCACATAGCAGTTCCAGGGGAATCCGAAGCCCTCTTCTGACCTCCGCAGCATTGCATGATACAGGTGCACTCACATACATGCAGGCAATACACTCATACGCATAAAATAAAAATAATGAATGAAATTTTTTGAAAAGATACTTGGTTAATATTAGCATAATTAATATTAGGTAGCCATGCATAAGAACCAATACTCCATAACTTCTTGGTTTTAGTTACTTTGGAAGGGCTGATACAAGTGACTATTTTGTTGTTGGCTCTGAGAAAGATCTTACCATGAAACCTAGGCAGGCCTCAAACTTATGATCCTCCTGCTTCAGCCTCCCAGGTGCTAGGATTATAGGCAAGTGCTACCATGCCTAGCAAGAATTGATTTTGATCCTGACCACTTCTTCCACAGTCTCTGAACAATATTCTCTGAGGACCCTGCTGATTAACCATCTGATGGTTTGATCTCAATTGTCCCTTGTTGCTGAGATTAGATCTGTCCTGGTTTGTCTGATGTGATCATACACTGTAAGGATAAATGATCAATGTCAAGGAGTTAATGCCAATAAAACCCTTTACGGTGAATTTTTAGCAATTAAGAAATGGGTCTTCCCGAGCGTGGTGGCACACGCCTGTCAAGTCCCAGCACTTGGGAGGCAGAGGCAGAAGGATCTCTGTGAGTTCAAGGCCAGCCTGGTCTACATAGTGAGTTGGACAGCTGGGGCTTACAGGGAGACCTTGCTTCAAAAAGACCAAAAAAAGAAAAAGAAGAAGAAATGGGTCTTAGGCCAAGCCTACCTGGCCGTATATTCTTGAATTTAATTCTGTCTGTCCTGAGAGTGATATCCTGGTGCCTCACAAATACTGCTCAGTGTTTTTGTTCATTCATCTCATTCATCTGTTGTGTGATGTCAGAAGTTGTATTTCTGCAGAATGTTAACAGACAGTGGGTTAAAGCTTTACAAAACAGCCAACAAGAGCAAATATTTAAAGAAAACTACTTTGAAAATTAAGAACTTGTTTACAGAGCTGTACTCCTGAAGTCACCAAAGTTCACCCAATACCTCTTACCTATTGGGAGGCACAATGGAGTGCACAGTGTCGGAATGTTTCTAATTATCTTTGCTTAAAGAGAATAACCAGAGCTGGTAAGGTACTTCAGTTGCTAGCACTCTCACTGGGTCTGATCCCCAGCACTGAACAAACCAAACATCGTGGCACATGCTTACAATTCCAGCATTTGAGAGATGGAGACAGGAGGATTTAGGAGGTCAAGGTCATCCTCAGCTATACAGGCCAGCCTGGGATACATGAGACCCTGTCAAAGAGAGAGAGGAGAGAGAGAGAGAGAGAGAGAGAGAGAGAGAGAGAGAGAGAGAGAGAGAAGGAAGGAAGGAAGGAAGGAAGGAAGGAAGGAAGGAAGGAAGGAAGGAAGACAATTAGGAACACGTGATCCTGGGAAAGTTTAGCACTATTAAAAATTTTAGTTTGGGGGGCCGTAGAGATGGCTCAGCAGTTAAGAACACTGGCTGTTCTTGCAGAAGACCCAGGTTCATATCCCAACACCCACATGGCAGCTAACAACTGTCCATAACTCCAGTTCCAGGGGATCCGACAGCCTCTTCTGTCCTCTACCAGCATTGCATGACATGGGTGCACTTACCTACACACAGGCAATACACGTATACACATAAAATAAAAATAATAAATAAAAAATATTTTTAAACCATTTTTTAAAATTTTAGTTTGGAAGACACCAGCTTGGCAAAATGTTCCTAGGTTTTAGAAGACTTATTTATACAAATGGGACGTAAGTACACTTAGAGTGTAAAGGAGGCGGTGGCAATTAACATCACTACATAGAAGAGCTATACAGAAGTCCTTTATGTGTTAAATCAGCTTTTACTTTTGAAGCAAAACTTAGACTCTTTGGATCAGTAAGATAGTTCTACAGCTTTTAAATAAAGCAAAAAAAAAAAAATCTCCTGTTCAGAATCCAAAAGGAGAAACTATTAAAACAGTCCAACTTTAAATCTCCCCCATTTCCTGATGAGAACCCCCAGTTGGCTCTGTCTACTGTATGAAGGATAAATTACTGTTATGTAGCACCAGCACTACAAATCGCACTCGGAGGTCGGGCAAGGGGCTGAGGACTTGAAAAAGGACACGTCAGCAGGTCATTCATGTGGAGAGAATTCTTTATTGCCAGAACAGCCTGCTATATATATCGCTCTCCAGCCCAGTCGAAAAGTCCCAGACAAGTGGAGAAAAGTCCCAGACAAGTGGAAAAAACACCAGGGCTCCGCCTCAGCTGCAGAGAAGCACAATAACAGGAACTTGTGGGTGGGTCATGTGGTACTGAGTATTCCGGTAACTGTGGTCAACAGCCAGGGTGCAACCCAAGGTCCGCAGAGAATCGGGGATGGGTTCCCACAGCTCCCCCTTTTATTTAATATAAATAGGCTCCTGTCTTAGGTCATCCAGGTCGTTAGCGCATTATCTTACCCATCATGGAGGAACCTGCTCAGGCCTCACAAGTCCTCTTAGGTTGATATGT